TCTAAATATATAAAATATATGAAAAATTGATGTGGGTACTCAAATGGAAGGTCTCGATGAGTTTAACATCAGGATGAGCTTATATCTTTAAACATGTCAATATTTCACTAGGTACTTGTTAAATTGCATTGTATATTTTTTTAAATGTTGACGTTTTTAAAGATATAAGCTCATCCCGATGTTACATCCATCAAGAGCTTTCATTTGAGTACCCACATGCATTTTGATATATTTTTCATATATACATATATATAATATATATAAATATATAAAATATATGAAAAATTGATGTGGGTACTCAAATGAAAGGTCTTGATGAGTGTAACATCGAGATGAGCTTATATCTTTAAAAATGTCAGTATTTCACCAGATACAGGGTCATTTCTTAATTATGTATCTAGAGATAGAGTATTTTTTCATACAGCCCAAATACTTATCGTAATAAATTGACTTTAATATTATTTATTAAAAAATTATCAACATTTAATTCCAAGTTAAAAAAAAACTAAAAAAGACAAATGGTTTGTTTGGATTTACAGAAAGAGCTGTTTGGTGCAGGAGATGTAGGTCCACCAGACGGGATGAGCAACCGGAAAATGTCCAATGGATCCACCGGAAGCACCAAGCACAAATGGCTCAAAGCCTTCAAAAGCCTCAAGACAAGTTCACCCACCACTCCACCCACTTCCGACAAGTAAGTTTATCCTTTGACATTTCTCATTGCTCCATTATAACATCAAACATCTTTACTGTCATACTAATTATAATTATGATAAAAATAATCATAATACCAAGCAATTAAAAATTTATAAATAAGTAGCATAATACACTGTAAAAAATTTAGAAGGAATTTTTACAAACAAATAAATTATTACAGAGAGAATTTATAAGAAAAAATGCTAATTGTAGTAATTGAAAAAAATATTGATGCATTTTTTTTTAATTAAAATTTATTTATTAAGAAAAAACAATCGTATTAATTTTTTATGTCAATTAAAAAATATTTTTTTAATTTCATTAAAAAAAAAAAATTAATAAAATTCTTTTGGAGAGATTAACTTAATTAAATTAATTAAAAATCATTTACTCCGCATTCACTTTGCAAATTTTTTACAGTGTATGTATTAACGCTCTATTAAAACGCATTTAACATTAATATTAACTTAAAAATATCTGTTGCTTCTGTTTCTTTAAAAAAAAAAAAATAAAAAAAACACAAGACCGGGAAAAGGGGCGATGTACCATGCCGTCTCTACAGTCGTTGCCATGTCCAGGTAAATCAATCGCACTCATAATAATCATAATAATATTCTATACTTACTTCTAAGCATTTCTTAGATTATATATAAATAAAAAACTAATTATTCTGTAAGTACCATCAGGAAGTTTTGAGCCGGTTGAAGCTCCTCTCGAAAGTTTGTTAATTTTTCCGGCTCTCAGGCTTGGAAAGCTTACAGGAGGATTTGTTGGCGAGGTTAAAAAAATTTCAAATTTTCCCCAGGAAAAACTTGGAATCTGAAGGCGGTCACCAGTGGCGCGAGCACACCTATCGCAAGATAACCCCTTGCGACGCTTGCGGACAGGTGCTGAGAGGACACAGTCGCCAGGGGCTCAGGTGTCGCAGCTGCAAAGTAAACGCTCATGCAGATTGCATTAATCTTGTACAGCCGGTTAATTGTCCGAGTCTTGCTCCAAAACGCAGTGGAGGGATTCCGTTGCTAAGACGTCAGAGGACGCCCGCACCACCTATCGAGGATGCTAATTCTACCGAGCACAGTGAGTTTAATTCAGTATTAATCATTTTCTTATCGATTATACACTGATGGAAGAATTTTTTAATTTTTTATTTTATAAGCTTTGAATATTATTTTTTGGTAAAAAATTTTTTTGATAATGCACAATAAAAAATTTTTGTGTTAAATATTTTAAACAAAATTTTTTTAACGCAAAATTTTTACTGCGTAAGTTATTTCTTAATTAATAATTTTTATTAATAGTTGATGAATCCTTCATTAAATAAAATAAATAATAAAAAATGATGATAATTGATAAAACTATATTTTATTTGATGGTGTTTATTATTAATTTAAAATTGCAAGTGCGTCACATTCAACCCTAAAGATATTTATTAACTGTTAATAATAAATATTTGTAAATCAATAATCAATATTTGTTAAGTATTAATCATCAACTATTAACAAATTTAGGTTTTTTCCTCAAAATATATTTATTAAATATAAAATAATTGCTTTAAAATGATAATCGGAAAAAATAGACCCTAAAAATTTTAAAGTTATGAAAAATTCATATTATTTCATTAAAATTATTATAAAAAAAAATTGTATTATACCCACAATTTTCTTGAAAAACAAGCACCCCCAGAATGATCGCTTCATTTTTTGTTACAAAAAAAAAATATTATTATTATTATTATTATTTATTAAAGAGCAACATTTATTGTAAGCCATTTCCCGATCCAATTTTGATGGTAGACTATGTAAATTTTTATCTATTAATGATTACACCACCACAATATTGTCGGTATGAGCACTCATACCATCCTCGAAAATTTAAATTATTAAATTTTTTTAACTTGAAAAAATAGTTCGGAACGCTCAGACCAGGACTCGAACCTGAATCTTTTGGTTACGCGCCAACTGCTCGACCAGTTAAGCTATTCGAGATAATTCCGAGATAAATAAAAATTGGATCGGGAAATGGCTTACAATAAATGTTGTTCTTTAATAAGTAAAATCACCGATCTTAGGAATAATGTTTAACAATTATTATTATTGTAATTTTTATTTTATAATAATTTTAATGAAATAATATGAATTTTTGATAACTTAAAAATTTTTTCCGGGATTCCTTAAAAATATATTAATAAATTGTATATGAATAAAGTTTATAAATTTTATAAATAGTTAATAAACTCTTTTATCAGTGTATAGTACTATATAATATTAATATTTATCATGATCATTAGAATTAATACTATACTGATATGCTGATGACTCCTCCTAGCCCCACTAGTCGATTGATAATTATTCTTTAGTTTATTAGTAAAATTAGTAATTAATAATTTAATTAGTAATGAGATTTGGAATTATTTATTGTTAGTTTAGTCTCCGGACTGTTATGTGTTTAATTAAAAATAAAATATAGTCTGCCGAAGTTCGATCCCGCGTTATCCTTGCGTGACCCTCTACGGGGAGAAACATATTATGTTTTAGCTGATGATGTTTTGTTTTCGGTACTTAATATTCTCGAGAGTATTTCGAGATCAAAAGATTTATCTTCCCGAGAACGTGTATAAATAAATAGTAATATTTAATAAAAATATGAGTTATATAAATCCACTCAACACAGCATATTTAATATGTTCTGCACACAAGATAAATTACGTTTTATGTTTACGGAAAAATTCTTGAGGTTCACTAAGAAGAACATTAAAGAGACAATTTTGTGCTTTTTAATTTTTTTGGTTACTTTGATTTTTTATGGAACAATAATAAAGCTTTTTTGTAGATATTAAATTTTTATTAAGAAGAATACACACTTAAAAAAAATTATTGTTTCCAATTTTATAATTTTTTTAAAGCTTAATTAAATTTTTTTTCAAAAATTGACACAAAAAAATTTTTTAACTTTGCAATTAAATGTATGATAAAAATGATTGATTTTTTGAAAATTAATTTTTGAATTAATTTCAATAAAATAAAATTTTGAATATTATTCCAAAATTACCAAAAAAAATAATTTTTATTATACTTTACATTTTTAAATATAAAAAAAAATTATAAATTATAAAATTGTAAACAATAATTTTTGAAAATATTTTATTTAGCAAAATTTTATCTCAAAAAAAAAAAAAAAATAAATAATTCGTAAAATAAAAATATGCCTAAAAAATTCTTTTTAGTGAACAAAAAAATTACCGAATGTTTCTCCTCAGATCTAGTTGATGCCAAATATTACCAATTGAAGGAATGATAGAGTAGATAAGTCACTCCAATAGTCTGTCTCTCTGCCCTGAGTTTAAAAGTTTAAGTTTGGAGTTTTAATTGAGATTAAAATGAGCCCTAATAGTGTTAACTAATTACAACTTACTCTGGCCTGTTAAAGTTTGTTGTGGGTATTGCGCAAAAAAACTCGCTGAAGCTTTTTATTAAAATATAATTAAGATGATTCTTTTGCTGTAACTTAAAATTGTACGAGTTTACTTGATCATAAAAATAATGGCGTTCTTTGACTAGACGCTGCCTCGAGACTTGAGACTCGGTTTCTTTAAATAGATAAAAAATAAAACAAGATCTTGAGTTATAAAATTAGATCTATTTTTGCAGCGATACTCTTACTAGTATAGTATAGTATAGATAGACACAATAATAATATCATAAAACTCGAGATTCAACTTTCGAATAATACTTTACCATTTTTTTTTCTTTGCAATAAATTCAATAAAATAAAAAACTATTTAAGGGGGAACACCACTGTGACGATCGAAAAAAAGAGATGATTTCCAGGAATTTTTTTGACAGGGAAAATAAAGGAATTTGGGAATCGGATTTTTTTATTTTATTAAGGGTACATTAAAGATTATTATTCTAAATTTTTATTAAAAAATATTTAATTATTACAAAGTTATTAACAATCTCGTCGAGCACTGGAGAAAATTTCCCCCCTCCACGGTCGGTTCGATAACTCAAAAACAAATCATCTGAAATTAAAAACTCAAAATGCTTTTTAATCAGTAAGGATGTAGTTATCGTCGCACGTACGGAATTTTGAAAATTTTAATTTAAAAAAAAATGGCGACTGATTGAAAATTTTCTACTATTCTTACTGTTTTTTTTTTTTTGTTTTAACCCGGCTAAAAAAATCTTTAAAATAAAAATTTTTCAAAGTCCGTACGTGCGACGATAACTACATCCTTACTGATTAAAAAACAATTTG